TATTATTATTATGTTATTAGTGTTAAAAGTTTAGGCAACAAATCTAATAGACAGAGTACGAAAAAAAAACAATAACAACAAAATAGATAACAAATTATAATCAAAATATAACAATAAAAAATGTTAGTTCATTAGGAAAATAGCTATTAAATTATATTAAATATTATCATAACTGCTACTAATAATTATTACTCACACAAACACACACGTAATGTTTAATGTAATATATATTTTTGACAAAATTTTGTGGTTGACATTAACAAAATAAATAAAAATACATGTCTGTATGTATGAGTGTGTGTGTGTGTGTGTGTGTGTGAAAGAGAGAGAGAGAGAGAGAGAGAGAGAGAGATACTAATAAAAACACACAAAAGGTTTAGCAAATAATTTTAGGCAATCAGTATAAGTGATGTATCAAAAAAATAATATATAAGTAACCAAACATTATATATACAGTAGAGAGAGAGAGAGAGAGAGAGAGAGAGAGAGAATGTATAAAAAAATGTATAATAGTAAAATCTATTTATGATAAGTAACACACACATATATATATATACACACATACACATCCACATCCACACACAACCACACACACACACACACACACACACACACACACACACACACACACATAAACACATACAAATAAATACACACACAACGGAAAAACCTACTAAAAAAAATCCTAAATTCAATCAAAATATCTATAATAGCATACAGTGAACGAGCATATAAAGCACATGAAAAAGCAACAACAAAAATATATAAGTAAAATAAAAATCAATATTCAGTTAATGTATATCCAAATAAAAAGGAGGAGTGATATTGTATGAGTGAGTGAGTGGGTGAGAGAGAGAGAGAGAGAGAGATTCATTGTATAGTATAGCCAGTGTATACATTTAGATATATCTATATATATATATATATAAATTGTATTACAAATTATAAATTGTAACCAAAATTTATTTAAATTATCAGTAATATTATCAACAACAATAAAAGATTCTCAGATTTAATTAAACTTATCATTTAACATAACTAATAATTAATTTGATTACAAAAATTAACATAAAAAATTAATTAATAAACTATTAGTATCAATAATAAAATTTCGCAAAAAAATCATTAAATTATATGACTATTTAAAAATTACAACTAACTATTAAAATTATAATATATATATATATTAATTTAGTATGACTTGTAAAAAAATATACAATATATTATTAATTAAAACTATAAAATAATTTATTTTCACATTAATAATAATAATATAAACAATAAGTAATTACATTTAGAAATATAAAAAAAATTCATTTAATTTATTTATTTTGCTAATAGTTATTATATATATATATATAGACACAAATATATAACGTAAATAAATATATTGTATTTATTGAAATAAAATGTATACAAAAATTTTCCTAAACATAAAAACAAAACAAAAATACATATATTTTGTGGAATTTCAAAAAAAAATATATCAATATATATACTAATATTAAATAACACCAAATAGCTAAATAAAAAAAACTAATATCTATTATAATATTATACTACACACACACACACGTATAGCTTTAATAGACACAAAAAAAATAAATAAAATATTTTTGGAAATAAAACAAATATAAGAATTTGTTTTTTTTGTTAAACCAAAAAAAACACACAGAAAAATTGCAGCAAATATTTTTACTTCAATAATACCCACAAATATTATACTATCTATTAGTTTGCAAATAACTCCCGAGTCTTTTATTATGGATATTATTATACCAGTATATAAAACTGTATATAAAACTCCTCTCCAATGATTAGACGGTTTTTTTTTATATATATCAATATATCGTTTTATTTCAATACAAGTGATGTGTGTGTGTGTGTGTCGTTCACCACAAAATACTACAACAACAATACAAATACACAAAAAAAACTTTAAATACACAACAATACTATAATATAGCCAACAATTTTATGGATAGTGAACAAAATATCAATCAATATATAGTCTATATATATATATATATAGTATATACATGTTAGAAATATCTATAGAAATATATAAGTTATATAACCCAACAAAATAATAGTAAACTTATGTATGACTAGTGGGTATCTGTGTGTTGTGTTTCTCATAAGAGATTTTTTTGCCTCTAAAACATACACACACATACACACAACACACACATACACACACACACACACATACACACACACACACACATACACACACACAAACACATACATACATACAGGTCTCGGAGCAATAAGTACTGAAAAAACACAACAACACAGCGATTGTCTAAATATTAATTGTATTATATATTGTAACGGCTTTACTGATTTAAATACAGATAACAATTAAAGTTGATTATTACAAAAAATATTAATAAACTACATACATTTTTTAAATAATGTTAATAATGATCAATAATATGTAATTGATATACCTTAAGTATATTATTATTATTATTTTTAAAAAATCTAATTATATTTTCAATTTTTTTTAACTATAAATAACAACAACAAAAATTTGAACAAAATTTGCAAAATAATAACTTTTTTGAAACTAATAAATAACTCGACAAAAAAATTTAACTCACGATTAGAGCTTATATATATAGAGTTAAAATTTATTAAAAATAATAATAATTTCATATAAAATATTAAACATAATAAATTTGGACCTAGACACTTTAAACCCCATAGAAATAGTTTCAATAAAATCATCTTAAAATTTTTGATAAAAATAAAAAATAAATTATTTTTTTTTTGATATTATTAAATATACTGTTAAATAAACTAAAAAATTTTGTTGTATATCCATACTATGTACAGTTAAATCCCTTTAGTTTTATTTATTATTATTTTTTCATTGTTGTTGTTGTTATACAACAATAGGTAGTAGTTTAGTAGTTAGTAGGGCTTTCCTTTTATATATATATATATAATGTAATGCCTAACTATCCAACAGTGCAAACACACACACACACACACACACACACAAAACTATCACTAGTTTTACTTATAAATAAGTTATAACAAAAACTAAAAAACAAAATAAAATTCAGTCCATAATACGTGCGACAGTTATATACAGTATATAAAGTATATAATAACAAAACAAAAAACAAAAACATTATAAAAACAATACTAAAACTATTTTTTTTTTTGTTAGTTTGGGTAAAATATATATATATATATATCTATATATATATATATCGATATAATATTTAAATATACTACAGCCGTCACCTAATGTGTATGTGTAGTGTCTGTCCACTATCACACACACCCAGAAGCTGTACTTCAAATATCATTAAATATCAAATATCAGACAAACAAACAAATATATATATATATATTTATAATATAAATAAAAAATATATAATAATATAGACAACAACAAAAATTTAATGGGAAATTTGTGTCAGAAAAAAAACTAAGAAAATAAATAAATTTATTTCCAATTGTATACACAGTATAACCAGAATAATATATTTAATATATAGATATAACACAATAAAAGTAAAACGTTAGACAAACATATATATATATACATACAAACACATACATACATAGTATCGGTATATATATATATATATTGAATGAATAAATCAAATACTTATATATCAAAGTTGGTCAGTACTACTATATCAAAAAAAAAAATATGATACATAAATAAATAATTGATTGATAACATAAATCACTGGTATATACTGTATAAACAGTATAAACAATACATACAACTAAAATTTAATTAACTGATGCCCATATATATATATACATGTACTATTGTATACGTGTTTGTGTGTGAAAGAGAGAGAGAGAGAGAGAGAGAGAGAGAGAGAGAGAGAGAGAGAAAGAAAGAGAGAGATAAAGAGAGAGTGGACTAATAAAACAAAAAATAATACATGAAAATGCATAGATAATTATTTTTTGTTCATTGATTACAATGTCATCATCAATGGATAAATATAAAGAGATTGTGTTATTTATTAAGAAAAAAACTATTTACTACAACAACAACAACAAAATTAAAATATGCATATAATGTATAGCATATAAATTATATTAGCCTATCATAAAAAGTGGTAATACATATGGGTTGTATGGCAACAACAACAACAACAATAATAAAAATTTATACAACAAAAAAAATTACATATTAATACTTGAATATTACTGATAAAATATATCAAATATATATACTATATATTATATATAATATATGTGTGTGAGGAGGGAAATGTAGACAAAACATATGTATATATTCTATATATATATATATATACTGATATATATGTCTATCAGTAAAATGTAATATAAAATGTGTGTGCATAGCATACATATGCCGGTTAACACCCACTGGTTAGGTATCCCCTTAACATGTAGTATAATATATATATATATATTTAATCCGCCATTTCTATTACCCAAAAAATAATCAAAAATAAAACACATATACATATACATATGCATACATATACATAAACTAAATAAATCGCCAACAACTACATACATACATACACACACACAACAACAACAAACTTTCAATGTATTGGAAGTGTATGTGTTTGTGATTACAAATTATATTAATTAATTAAAAAAAAACACAAAACCAATCAAAACCTAAACACATATAAATTATAGACAACTGTTAGACATTTAGTTTAATTATAAACCATTTTTATTTTCGCTATCTATCCTCTCTCTCTCTCTCTCTCTCTCTTTATCGAAATAATTAGTTTTCATCGCCAATATATATAGGGGTTATAATACCCCTAATGATAATTATTATTATACTGTAATAATGGTGACTAACATATAGTATGAGTCATACATTATTTTTTCAAATTAATTTTTTTATATAATTATTAATAGTTATTATTAACACATAGAGAGAGAGAGAGAGAGAGTTAGGTTTTAAAAAACTCTCACTATTTTATAGTTACTATTATTATTAGGGGGGGGGGGGAATGGGATCTCAATATTACCTTATTTTGTCGATTATTATTATTATTAGTATTATTATTAGCAGCGTTTGAATTAATATTATTATTATTATTGAATGCACTGATAGTTGTTTGGTTGTTATGCTGTTGTGATCGGCTTCGGCCTTGATTTGTATGGCCGTCACTACTAGTCTGGCGTTTTGTTTGTCGACCACCACCGCCACCGCCGGTCACATGATTGTGGTGATTGTGAGAGTGATGGTTATGATGATTATGATGGTTAGTATGGTAATCCATAGCAGCAGTAGCAGCACTGGTAGTTTTATGGACAGTACTATTATTATTAATATTATTAATACTATTATTAAATAATAGTTTATCGTTGCTCTTCATTCAATACAATTCATTCAAATAAGTACATCCAATAACACACAACAACAACAATATCTCTCAATGAAATATATTTAATAATAATAAAAACAAATTAATTTATTATTATTATTTTTTATCACAGATTATTGGTCGGCCCAATAAATATCAGTAATATTTTTTTTCAAATCTAATATACAGTATTATACTGAACCACTTAATAATGGTCACCCACTTTCAAGATAGCTAACATATATATCTATATATATCTATAGACACTATAATACAGATTAGATTGTTGTCACTAATAGCCAATTTCAATGACACCACACACACACACACAGACACTACTATTATAGTAATGTCTATCAATAATTGATTTTTATTTATTTTATATGTTTTTTGGTTATCTTTTGTTTTTTTTGTTGATCAATAAAATAAAATAAATACACTAATATAATGTATATATATATTAATATTATTTATATATATTATATATAATTATTAATTAAATCAATATATATACTGTATTATAGCTTTTCAATAACTAAGTCAATAGATATTATTTTTTTATGGGATAATATTAATATTCAATCGGATTTTTTTAAAAAATTTTTGTTGTTTTGTTTAAATATGACAATCAATCAAATAGTGTGTGTGTTTTAAGAGATAACAACAATAGTTTTTCAATGGTTTATATATTTAATATTATTAATAATATTATTATTAATACTATAACCAAAAAATATATATATATATTATTAGTTTTGTTGAGGCGATGGTATGTTATATGATGTGATGATGATATGTAATAATAATTAATAAATTGTTGAATAATTTATAATATTATTATTATTATTATAACTACAATAAAACAAAAGTGTCAATAAAATTATTATTATTATTATTATTATTATTGGAAATGTGTCAACAATAATAATAATAATAGTAATAATAATAATAACACTAACAACAATAATAATTATACATATATATATAAATCACACACACACACACACACACACACACTTAATTAAATTTGAATATTACTTTTTTCAAATTTAAAAAAATATGTTTTTTTAATTATTATTATAATGAAAAAACTAGTTCAGACATAATGGCACACAAATACTGTATTATAAGTTATATATTTATATATTAATATATATATATTTATTAAGTGAAAATAATTGAAGCAAAATGGCATTTAATGAAAGTAGTAGTCATTTAATTATATATATATATATATATACACTGTATATATATAAGTACTGTTTTACTTCAATAATAATAATAATAATAAACACTTACACACAACTTATAAATTGTTATAAATAACTGGCAAAAAAATTAAAGTAAATTATCAACAAAAAAAACATATTATGATATAAATTATAATTACTGAGAGTGAGAGTGAGTTTTAGAGAGAGAGAGAGAGAAAAAAAAATGTAAAATTAATTGAAATACTACTGATATATATATAATATTTATTTATATATATAATAATAATAATTTAATAGAGGAGTGAATGCTAATAGTGAGAGAAAGTGAGAAAATAAAACTCAGTTTAATATATAATATATATATATATATAGATAAATTGTTTAGTGAAAATAAAAATTACTTTACAAAGTAGCTGTAGTTGTTGTAATAGTAATAGCACTGGTAGTAGTAGTAGTAGTAGTAGTAGTATCAGCACTGGTAGTTGTTGTTGTAAAACACCAGTCAAGTCTTTTAGGAAATGAAATAAAACTGATAGGAATAGTGTAGAGAAAGAGAGAGAGAGAGARAGAGAGAGAGAGAGAGAGAGAGAGAGAGAGAGAGAGAGAGAGAGTGGAAAGTCTGGAGACTTTTTTTGAACGAAAGTATATATAAAAAAATAAATATAATGTTTAAGAAGATAATAATAACAACAACACTTTATTTATATATATATATATATATATATATATATATATATAGAAAGAGAGAGAGAGAGAGAGAGATAAAAAAATTGAAACTGAAAAATATATTTTTCCAAAAAAAAATATATATATATATAAAAGTCAATATATTTGTTATGGTATGTTCGCGAAAGTAGATAATCCGCTTATTTTTAGTCCACTTTTATTTCAATCCTTTTTTGCGAACGTGATAGAGGATTGAAATGAATCCTTATTTTCAATCGGATTGAAAAGTGGATTGATATGCTATAAAGTGGATTATATGCTAGTGCGCATGTGTATAATTATTTAAACACATGTATTTTGTATTTATTAAATTTGTGTAATTTTAAATTTTGTAAACAAAAACAAAATCAAATTAATTTACTAAAGATTACCGTGCGAAGGGAATAATAACTATGGATAGATGGACAACAGATGAAATCAAAATATTAATTAAAATATGGAAAGATTTAAAAAATAAAATGAATTCAATGGGTCCAAAAAAATTAGTGTGGAATGAGTTCAAAGAGAAATTGATTGAATATAATATCAATAAATCAATTGATCAAATTAAGGTTAAAATTAAAAACCTCAAGGCTGATTATAAAAAATATAAGCCTGGATCAACTGGCTCATCAAGATCTGAATGGATACATTTTGATGATATTCATGAAATATTGAAAACAAGTCATTATTTCAATCCTGAAATGGCATATACTATAGAAAGTGTAAGTATATTTGTTTTATAAAAAACATCAAAATTAATAATCTTTCGCCTTTTACTAAAGTTTACCGAAGAAGATAATCCAGAAGTTGAGCGATCAGTTGTGTCGCTAACTCCTAAGTCATCAAAAAAAAGAAAATATCAAAAAATAGATGACTTAAATGAAGAGAAAGAAGAGATTAAAAAAAGTATTGAAGAAATGAAAGAGATATCAAAAACAGCCATAAATAATATGATGTCATCTCAAGAAGAATTGAAAAATGAGTTTAAAGAAATAAAAGAAAGTTTAAATAATTTTATACATTTAATGTTAAAAAAATAATTGTCAAAACAGTTAATAGTAATAAATAAAATTAATATTTATTATAATTGAAAAATGTTTACCATTTGATCTTTACTTTGCTCTAAACTAAGTCCAAAATTTCCTAAAATTATATTTTTTCACCAAAAATAAATTAGTTGTAAAGTGCTATATAATTAACTTTTAAATTAATAATATTTAAATTATTTTGTCATTCAAATTATTTATTTATTTACATTATTTAATGTATAATTAAATTTTATTATTATTAAAATAGGTTTTTAAAGCATTCCTTATATTTAATGCATTAGATTTATCACTATTTGTAACATTTTTTGATATTATGATATTATCAATATTTTTATTCCAATCCATTTTTGGATGATCTCTAAAATCTTCACATATATTATGCAATGCAAATGCTACTTGTATAACTTTAGATGCATCTTCTAATCTATAATAAAAACTTTAGTAAAAAGCGAAAGATTATTATTTATTTACTTTATTTCCATTTTCTTTAAAGTTCTTCTCCATCGAGATTTAACTAAACCAAAAACATTTTCAATTATACGGCGAGCATGACTATGCCTATAATTAAAATATACTTCATCGGCATCACTATTATCTCTATAAATATAAGGTTTCATAAGCCATTCTTTCAAAGGAAATGCACCATCTCCTAGTAAATGAAACGGTATATCAGTGTCTGATATTTTTCTTTCAACACTTGGCAGAAGTGATCCGTTTTCAAATTTTTCAAATAATGATGTCTGATGAAATGCACCAGAATCATTTGTACGTCCAGGTATTCCTGATTTTACGTACCAAACCTAAATTAAAATTTTACTAAAGATTACCGTGCGAAGGAGAGTAATAACTAACCTTATAATTTGCATCACATATTGCAATTGAAATAATTGAATGAAAACTTTTATAGTTATAATAATCAACAGCTTTTTCAAGGGGTACTTTTATGGGAAAATGACACCCATCTATTGCCCCAATTGCCATAGGATAATTCCATTTTACTTCAAAATCTTTGGCTATTTTTTTAAATTCTTCATTATTTGGAATCACAATATGCTCTGGTACTAGAGCAATTATTGCTGATTCAATGAAGAATTTAAAACAATCATGTACTGTGGTCTTACCTATGCCAAATGATTTTGCAATTTGTTTGTATTCAGCTGTAGATCCTAAGACCTAAATAATGGTATTCTTTAGTAAAAGGCGAAAGATTATTATTTATTACCTGTAGTCCAACTGCTACTTTTTTATCAATTGGTATACCATTATTATAATTAGGATAAAGATGTTTAATTTTTTGGACAATATAATTAAATGTCTGTCTATTCATTCTAAATTCATCTTTAAATAAGTCTTCGGGCATTTGTGGTACCAAATATTCCCACCAACCAGTGTTGAGATATGTAGGCTTTTTGATGAACCGTCTCTTCTTTGGTTGGCTAAACACACCCCCCGTACGGTAATCTTTAGTAAAATTTTATATTATATTTATATTAATATTAGCTTACCTTTGATTTAATAATTGAACATTTATATCATAAAGTCTGTTAAATTTATTTAACATGAAATAATTAAAATCAATTTGATATTTATAATATTGAATTTGATTGTCATTAATTTTAATTAAAATATCGATTAGTTTTAAATATGTTGACAATAATTTTTCAACAATCAAATTATCCATTTTTATCTATTTGTTTATTTATTTTGTTTATTTATTTATTTATTAATATTTTATATAGAGGTCACTTAATTACAATCTTTATTTTACATTTTAATAGCGAACAGGATTGAGGATGGATTTTGAATCCTTTTTTTGAATCCTCAATCCTGTATCTACTTGGGCGAACATACCATTATTGTATTTTTGAAATACAGTATATATTATATATATATATAAATACAATACACAATAACAACAACAACAAAAATATTTAAGGTGAGGGATGGGCTATACTTTTCATTTATATATATATATATTGAAAATTAAATACCAGTGTCTAAATGGTGCTGGGCTTAAAACAAAACGTCTACCGGAGCTGTATGTATGTGTGTGTACAGTATGTGTTAATAATAATATTATTATTATTTTATATATAATTTTATTATTACTAATAATAATAAGTTGTGTGTGTTTTAGTCACTACTACTACTATATATATATATATATATATATATATATATATATATATATATATATTATATATATATTGAATATCCACGACAACTGAAGGCCGGCCGCCAACACATTATATATGCCTTTATTATTATTATTATTATTATTATTATAATGTTATGCTATGTATTGCATGCGTCAAAACTGATGGCCACATCCCTATAGATTTGTGATTATTATTATTATTATTATTATTATTATTATTAACTAATATTTTTTCATATATATATATTTACTATTAAATCTATATAT